TCAACAAAAAATGTTTTTGTTTTAGAAATAATGTTCTTTGTAATTCCAAGTGTCATTTTAGTAATCCTTGTTGTAACAAATGATTTTATGGTGCGTTTCCATAAATACCATTTATGCGCTGCATAAATGAGATAAATTGCTTCCTTTTCATTTTAATTGTCTATCATTAGCTTATTTATAGAATACCTAATTATTTCATTTTAGATAAATTGTTTATTTCACACTTTAACTGTCTCTCATTAGTTAATTTATAGAATACCTAGTTATTTCATAGAATAACTAGTTAAAGTGTCAAATTAATAACATATTACACACTTTAGCGGACACGATCAGTTATTTAATGGAATAACTAGGTATTCTATGAAATAACTGTATTATATACTTCAACGGTAACATGTAGGGTAAACCAACCAGTGAAGGAACACTACCCAGTGGAGGAACATTTCATATATATTGATTAAAAATAAGAATTTGAAAGTTTCTCTTTAGATTGATTGGTAACAATAGCTTACTGCCAAACAATAGGAAGTCATCAAGCAATGTTTCGGATTACCTGGTCAAATAGACTTCTCTGGAAAATTTTTTGAATTTGTTATTATCTGTGCAACACCTTGTTTCGTTGAAAAAAATTATAGGGTGAGTTTCTGTATTTATAAGTTTGAAGTTCAATTAATAGCATGTAATAGTTTTATTTTTCTCACGGTGAAAAAGAGAATTCAAAATATAGTTATTGAAGTTACGTTTTATTTTTTTTTAAGCATCAATGCATAATAAAGTACTGAGATAAGGGGGTGCTTATTCACTGGATCACCAAACGAAGAAAAACCAGTGAAGCTCCTTTACTGGGTTTAATGAAATAAAAGTTAATGAAAATAATAGATAAAATTTAATTTTCTTGTACCTTTCGTGATGTTCCGCATCAAAAGTATGTTAAAAATACGAAAAACAACTTCTAACCAGTGAGGGAACAGGCATGCTCCTTTACTAGACATAGATTTCCCAGTAAATGAACAGTATGTGTTAATATGTTGACACTTTAATTTTCAATTCATGATTACAAAAAAAAGTTAACATTTTCCAAGTATTTATATGTAATAATTTCAAGAATAGGCTTGCTTTTAAATATTTGTATGGCTTATAAATTCATAAAGAACATTAAAAAATAACCATAATTAAGTGTTCCTTTACTGAGTGTTTATTCACTAGTAAGAGCTGTTCCTTCACTTGGTGTTCTTGTTATTTGAACCTCCAAATTTTTAAAACAATATATAGCTCTCTAAAAATTTTTTACATAATTTGCAATTAGTAACAAATATGTTGACACTATCATTTAACTAAATTTATTGAATTAAAATTATTTATTAAAATTATTGAACTAAAATTATTGATTACGAATTTTGAAAATAATATGATTTTTTAGAAAGCAAACGAAGCTTAAGCGTTCCTTCACTGGTTAGTTTACCCTATGTCAAACAATTCTAAAATTATTTAAAGCGCCTAACTGATGAAGTGTTCTTTCAGCTTATTGTAATAAAAATGAAATGTTGAAATATAATGACGAAAACTTCATTAGCATCCTTCAATATTTTGATAGATTTCCGGGAGAAATAATTCGAAGAATAAATCCTTCGAAATTTCAAGGATCACACAGACCGAATCAGCAAGGTTATTACTAAACCCCTCAAGGAAGTAAATCCTATAAATAAACATTAACAGTTCCCACAATGCACCTTACCGCGAAGTGATGGTGGCACTAACCTCGTCTCAGATTTAGGATCTTCAACTATCGAAGGGGGAAAGGATTTCTCTCTGCGATTTCTCTCTGAACTCAACTAAAGAGTCGTCCGAAGAACCGTCTTCCTGCAGTTTTTCCTGCAACGCTCTCTCTTTCTCTCAGCTGTGGTTTAAACCAGTAATACCATGTCCACGACGGTGAAAACCACGAAATACACCTACAAATCAAGTACCGGTGGTGCGACCAGCGACGTCACCATGGAGTACGGAACAGATGTCGGTGCATTTACACGTTTTGAGGTAAATTATTTAAAATTCGAACAATTCGTTTTTTTCTCCACCCCCAGGAGTTGTGTTTCCGATTTTTAAGCTTGATTCTTTTTAGTTTAAGGGGTCACAGTACCTTTGCAAAGGTATAATCATTCATTTTGTGGAAGTTTTACATGCTCATTCAACTTATAATTAATAATTTATCTTCAAAAAATAATTAAACTGTTTAGTTTTTTGTTTAAAATATAGGAAAAAATTTTAAAAAATCAAAATTTTTAAATCCCCAAGGCTTTTTTTATTTTAACCTATTTTCAAACAAAATTTTTTTTTAGTGCTTGCAATATTTATCTTCACAATTTTGTGCATTCATTTGTTGATATATCAATTAGAATATTTTTTATNTTTTGATAGATTTCCGGGAGAAATAATTCGAAGAATAAATCCTTCGAAATTTCAAGGATCACACAGACCGAATCAGCAAGGTTATTACTAAACCCCTCAAGGAAGTAAATCCTATAAATAAACATTAACAGTTCCCACAATGCACCTTACCGCGAAGTGATGGTGGCACTAACCTCGTCTCAGATTTAGGATCTTCAACTATCGAAGGGGGAAAGGATTTCTCTCTGCGATTTCTCTCTGAACTCAACTAAAGAGTCGTCCGAAGAACCGTCTTCCTGCAGTTTTTCCTGCAACGCTCTCTCTTTCTCTCAGCTGTGGTTTAAACCAGTAATACCATGTCCACGACGGTGAAAACCACGAAATACACCTACAAATCAAGTACCGGTGGTGCGACCAGCGACGTCACCATGGAGTACGGAACAGATGTCGGTGCATTTACACGTTTTGAGGTAAATTATTCAAAATTCGAACATTTCGTTTTTTTCTCCACCCCCAGGAGTTGTTTCCGATTTTTAAGCTTGATTCTTTTTAGTTTAAGGGGTCACAGTACCTTTGCAAAGGTATAATCATTCATTTTGTGGATGCTTTACATGCTCATTTAACTTTTAATCAACAATTTATCTTCAAAAATAATTAAACTGTTTAGTTTTTTTTTAAATTTAGGAAAAAATTTTAAAAAAATCAAAATTTTTAAATCCGTAAGACTTTTTTATTTTAACCTATTTCCAAGCAAAATTTTATTCTCTTGAGCTCACACTATTCATCTTCGCAATTACGTGCATTCATTTGTTGATATATCAGTTAGAATATTTTTTATCGATTATTTGTTAAAAATGTTGAGAAAAAAAGGCTAAAAATTCCTGTTAGGTATATATAACATGCTGTAAAAATTGTAGTACTTCATAAAATGCCGATACCATGCACAGCCTAAATAAGCGTATTTCACTTAAGATAAAACATTTTACTTCAAAGCTTTATCTTAAATAGAAAATGTTCCATAGGGATTTAATTAAGATTAAAACCCGAAACTATCATCTATGAGAAAAAGCACTTTAAACTCTGTCTGCAGAGTCTGTATTTGGGCAATCTAAAATCTTTCTTAACTTTTTTAAAAACGTAAATAGAGAGATGATGTTTGTTTCAGTGCATTTGAAATAGTTCGAAGTTTTATTATTAGCAATAAAAAATTTCAATATTTTGGTCATATTTTGGGTATTGTGACCCCTTAAATATATAAAAATTAATTTTATGAGTGTCGTTGACAAAATTGCTACTACAAAAATATGGACCTACGTAAGAATAAAATGTCGTTAAATATCTAAGGATAGTTAGTGATACCAAAATTTCAATATCACTGCCTAAGACAACGAAGAAATAATTTTGATAAGTAAAGATAATATGAATTTAAAATTGCACGAATTTTTTAAATTTTTATTAAAATTGTAAAAATGTTTTCGATCAAGATTGATTCTTTTTTTTTTGTTTAAATATATAAATTAACTTTGATTTTATAAAGGGACGATTTTTAATTTAGATTGAGTATACTAGGTTTGAATTTTAATGTCATTGATTTTAAAACTCGTTATGTTTGCGTATTTTTAAAGTTATTCACTTTTGATTATAGAGTGAAGTGAGTATTTTTAAGGATACGTAATTGTTCAAAATGTAGGAAGTAATGGAAAAAAAAGTTTTGTTAACTTCTCAATTTTAAATGGAATTACTCTCTAATTTTTAAAGCGTTAGATTCTAAATTTGAATGCATTTATTCCTCTTCAAATTTGAAACGTGCTTTTGTTTCCAGTTTTAAATAAACCGCTTTCAAAATTTTAATTGTATTAGCTTTTAGTTTCCTTAATCTTAAATTGTATGTTTAAAATGAAGGGTTTTGTAACTTGTAATGAGAATTTGAAGATATTTAAATCAAGTTGATAAATAAATTCTATGCATTTTGTATCATAATGAATGCATTAAAATCTGTTGTCACAACTTAACATTAATCTCAGCAACAAGTAGATGACGTAATTGAATATTATCCACATATTAAATGTTCATTTAATGTTACAGAAATAATATGTTACTGTGAAAAATATCTAATTGACAAAAGGAATGGTACAAGGACCTACAAGTATAGTGAAGAAAACATTTAAGTGGTGGGTCAATATACAGGTATAGGACAAAATAATAGGAGCACCTGTACATAGTACCGCTATGCACAGGTGTTCCTATTATTTTGTCCTATACCTGTATAGCAGATGAGTGGGCCAATAATAATTACTATTTACTAACGTATTTAAGACTACAGTGCTACATATTTAAGCTCTTTAATAAGTTCTTCTTAAAAAATGATGTTACATTGCTGTAAATGACAGGGATTGCTTATATTTAGAAAGAGAACATTAAAAAAAAATAATTGGATACATAATTCATGCTACAACACGAAAAATGTAAATTTTTTCAAAGAATGTGTCGATTTATGTTGAAGTTTAAATAAGTTCCTTGCGCTATATTTTCCCGTAAATTCAAAGATTGTTTGTTCATTTCAACTCTATTTATATTTCTCTTCGAATTGTAGGGAAAAAATTGACACATTTTTTTACTAATTTGTATACAAAAAAGCAAGTTTTGGAAAAAAAACACGAAAATTGTGTCCCTATGAACATTTTGAAACATTGAAATGACTATAAAATATGTTGTGGCACNGTGTCCCTATGAACATTTTGAAACATTGAAATGACTATAAAATATGTTGTGGCACATTATTTTGAAATTATTTCTCTACAAGTTTTTTTTTTTATTGATGTAGAGATTGTGTCAAAAACGCTTCATGGAATAGTTATCAAAATTACAGCTCTTTATTTCTCGAAGTTCCTCGTTGAAATGCATTGATATTTCGTGAAATATGAATGAATTTTAAAATAAATATTTGTGCTGATTTGTTAAAATAAATAAATATATATCTTAAAGACCAATGAATATACTGAATATTGTATTTACGAAAAATACGAACAACTCAAATTTCAGGATTATCAAAATTCAATATGGATTCCGATAATGAAACACATATTGCTCGTAACAGTAATTAGCAAATACGGTATTATCGCGATTATTATAACAGTAGAGTTAGATACTATCGTAAGTGCTGATGACAAAATATTGCTACCAAAAATAGTGACCTATGTAAAAATAAAATGGTTTCCCTGGAAAAAGATGACCTTACATCGTGAAATATCGATGTTTTTTTTTAACGATATGCAGTGATACTAAAACTTCAATATCACTGGCTAAGACAGAAGAAATAATTTTAATACGCAAAGCTAAACATAAGATGAATTTAAAATTTCTCAAATTTTCTGGGATTAAGTTTTTTAAAAAAATGTTTTCAATAAGGATTTGCAAAACTCTTAATTTGGGAACATTGAACAATAACTCCTGAACAATAAAGTAGTACAGCCGAAGTTTTCCATTATTGGCTTAGAAACGTGTCCAAATTTCAGGTAGATACTTTATTTACGTCGTGCTGGAACTACACAATGGGCTATTGGCGACGGTCTGGGGAACATTCCCGAGGATGATCCGAAGACCATTTGATCCTCTGCAGAGGGGATGGCTCCCCTGCTTTAGTAGCTCGACGACTTGCTCATGGAGTCGATCACTTTACGATTGAACAGTTTAACGAGGATTGATACCACGCACTCTCGGTCCCTAAGCAGGCGGATCAAAGTGGCCACCCACCCGCTTACTGACCGCAGCCAGTAAAATTTGACTTTCACGACCTGCTCATGGAGTCGAGCACTTTACGGTGGAACAGTTTAACGATACCACGCACTCTCGGTCCCTAAGCAGGCGGATCAAAGTGGCCACCCACCCGCTTGCTGACCGCAGCCAGTCATATTTGATTTCGGTGTCAAAATTTAAGACGTCTGACAACGATTAAAAGCAAATCTGGTTGAAGTTTGAATCGATCGGTTCCCCAATTTCTTTGCGGCTCTGGAACCTTAAATTATGGATTTTGAAAAGTTTTATTAGAAATTTTGGTTAACATATTAAGTTAAGAAAGACTACTCATAAATTTTGAAAATATTGATCATGACATTTCTTCGTTTTATTATTAATGATCTTGGAAATTGGGTTCGTCAGATAGTCTAGTTCTAATTGATCTTGATTTGCACAAATAAGCTGAATTATGGTTTGTTTTGAATTTATAATTAGAAATAGAATGCTAGAAACGTTGAGAATGGTTATCAGAAGTTAGTCATCATTTTGTGCATAAAGCTGAAAGTTAAGTTCTAAGTTAAGTTCATTTACGGAATCTCTTTAACCGTCATTCATAATAGTATATCAATGTAATTTGCGTCAATAATTAATAATTATAAAACGGTAAATAAGACTATAAACACATCAAAATAACTTCATCTTTAAATGTTACGTATGATTACATTATTCTAATAATAACAATAATTAAAACTTATCCATCTAAACCCCTAATTTACAAATCAAAAACGTAATAAAAACAGTACAGATAATTTCAACATAAAACATAAATATTTATAGGAAAACAATAACTTAAATCAATTTTATGCTGATGACAACCAAACCAATCTGAATGTAGAAGAACTGGATCCTACCACGTGATTTCCCAGCCAATAAATATCGATCAGATTTATATATATTGTAAGATATTCATCATTCGATTTTGTCAATGTATATTTTTATTTAAATTTTACTTTTTCCCAAGTATTTTATTAAAATAATTTCATTAAGATAATATTAATTATTAAATTTGATTATGAATTACTTAATTATAAATGCCATTTATCAGGCAAATTTAGATTAAACTAGTTTCAAATGAAGGGGTAGGGGAAGTTCTTAAATAACTATTATCATTAAATTAAGTCTGAGTTTTAGAGATGAAAACATCCATTGGAATAAGTTTAAAATTTTAAAATTAGTTTAAGTTAGATAAGTAAAAAATAATGATCTCTCTTTTTTTAAAAAAGTTTGGTATGTTTTTAAAGAAAACACTTACATAATTTCGAAAAATCCTTCGCACTAACCAAGGTATTTTTTATTGTGCTTAAGATAAATTTTTTCGAATAATTCACTTTTCTGGAAAAATGCTTTTCGTTGCTATGCAACTGGAAGGGGGTTTCTCATTGATGCTGTTTCTCCGCCTGAGCTATAGACTTGTCTGCGAAGATATTTTTTCTAAACATCGTAGTCTTAGAAATTTGATCTTTGTGAAATTGAAGAAATGAGTAGGAGAAAGAACCAAAGTAGCGTTTGGGTTTAAAAATATAGGTTACATTCAGATAGGTGCAAATAGAACAGTGATTCTCAACCTTTTTTTTGTTGCGGCACACTTTTAACGATTTCGAAATTGGACGGCACACAATGAAAAAAAAATTAGTCTAAAAGTTGTTTAATTACCTATTTTACACTGTGTTAAATT